GACTTGTCCAAGTTCTAAGTCCTCAAAACTGAGCCCCAATCTGCAGCGATCACCAATCTATGTCAAGGGTTGCTTCCCTGCATTTCACCCCCCCTCCCCAGGTGGGACAACACTGGGGCCTGGTCATTGCTGTCCCCACTGGCTTTGGCTGAGCAAGCCCCAAAGGGACTTGAGCCAACCCAGCAACAGCCTCCGCCCCCCTCACAAACACCAGCCCTGAGCATGCGCCCTTCAGCTTATTTCAATCCAATGGATCCCGTCCATTGTAAACACAATGTGTGCATTGCAGGCACCTTGACAAACGGAGGGAAGACAGGCAACATCCAGCTCTCCCCAGCCTCCCACTGCCCGATCAAGATGGAATCAGAACAGCAACCAGCTCTGGCCTGTTCTTCGCAGAGCCTCTCAGGCACCTCTCCTAGACCCTCACCTTCCGACAGCCCCGTGGAGTTGGCAGTGGTGGCCCCATTTACACATGAGGAACAGGCTCAAGATTGGGAGGGACCAGCCCAGGATCAGCAGGCTGGGGAGGGGCAGCCCAGACCGGTCAGCCTGACACTACACCCACAGCTCCACGCAGCCCTACGGTGGCACTGCCCCCTCAGGAGGCCACACCCTGGCAGGGAAAAAGAGGGTCCACAAGCCCCTAATCACTCAGCAACTTGTTGACACTTGGCCTTCAAGCAACAGCAAGGGAACAGGGAAAAGTGGGGGCGTCCCATGAAGCCTGACTGTACTGTGCGACCCTGGCAAAGCCACCTGACCTCTCTGGTGTCAGTACCTATCTCTGGAAGTTGAGATTAAGGGTACTCACCTCAGCGAGTTCTCAGGAAAAGTAAGCAAAGTGTCCAGGGCAGGAGCTACACTTTCCTGACCAACATGGACGACACTCACCTCCAGGCCTCAATCAGCTGATCCAGAAGAGCCCGGTGTTCCTTCCACAGCAGGAGCCTGCGAAGCCCGGGCTCAGGGGTGCTGCCTTCAGGCCTGGCTCCCTTGGTGCTTGAAAACACCCTCTGGCCAGTCCTCCCGGTCCCAGTTTCCCCAATCCTGCTCCTTGCCCTCCTCAGAGGCTCCCCAGGGCCCCATCTGGGCACCGTTGCCAGGGATGAGCCTCCCTCTTAAAGGGACATACAGGCGGCCACACACTGAGGTCTGTGCCTTGGCAATCCACCACCCCCTGGGGTTCTGTGAGCGGCCTCATCAGTGAAATGGGTTGTGGTGAGAATCCAGAGGCTGAAACAGCTCCCTGAAGGCCTGCAGCACTGGTGTGCAGCGCTTGGGAGCTTATCTCTGTTTGTCTTTGGAAAAGTGGACCCAGTGCAGAGAGAAAAACCTGTTCTGCCCCATGAACCCAGTCCTGCAGCTTCCCTAGCCGAGTGCCAGGGGCGGGCCTGGGTGCTGCATTTAATCACTTCCCAGGAATTCTTAAGCAAGGGTAAGGTCTCAGCTGTGAGGTGTTAGAGAGCAAGCTCCACAGCTGCAGCTCCACCCACAGGAGCCAGAACAGCTGAGTCCTGCAGGGTGTGGCCCCCCAGTGCCTGCTGTGAGCTCAGACCTGGATGAGGCACCAGGCATTGCCTACCATAGAAATGATTGTTTGCTGTCTGCATCCAACAGAAAACAAAAACTTCTTGAGGGTAGGGCCCCTGTTTTGCTCCCCACAGTGTTCCCTGGAGCCAGCAAGGTGACTGGCAAACAGCTGTTTAATGAAGGAACCAAACTCTGCCACATGCTCTGGAAGGAGGATTTTCCCTTTTGCTTCAGGCTCCAATATGGCTCCTCAGCAGGATGCAATTATCGATCCTGTCAATTTTTTTTGCATTTATTTTGATTTTTTTTAAGATTATTTATTTATTTTTATACAAGAACCGGAGTACAAGCCAGATGCACGGGAGGGTGAGAGGATTCACCAGAGCCAGAGCGGGGAGCAGAGCAGGCAGAAGGACCGAAGTACACTGCTGAGGGGAGCAGCGGGCGGCAGGAGAGGTCTGCGCGCCATGTGCGACCCTCGCCAGCCGGCCGGGATTGAATCTGCACTGCAGAGGCTGTGGACAGCTTCACAGTGCGGTGCTCAACCACCTGCGCCACCAGGGGAGGCCCTGTACCCCAATTCTTGTATAAAAATAAATAAATCTTTAAAAAAATATATTCCACTAAAACAATATCTTGATTACTGAGCTTTTAAATTTTTTTAAAAGATTTATTTTTTATTTATACAAGAGCTGGGGTACAGACGAGAGTCATGGGAGGGTGAGAGGATTCACCAGAGCCAGAGCGGGGAGCAGAACAGGCAGATGGACCGAAATACACTGCTGAGGGGAGCAGCGGGCGGCAGGAGAGGTCTGCGCGCCATGTGGGACCCTCCTCCTGTGGCCGGGGAGCAGCCGGGGATCGAACCGGCGCCGCAGAGGCCGCGGGCAGCTTCGCAACCCAGCGCTCAACCGCTGCGCCACCGGGGAGGCCCAGGAAGGAATCTCACTTTTGACAGTCCTGTCAGGTGGGGATTACATCCCCATTATATAGACAAAGACACTGAGGCCCAGTCAGGGAAGGAGGCCTGACCCAATCCTTGAGTCACCAGGATCAAATGTGGTTCCTCCTGATCCCAACATGGTGACCTTCCCAGGGCACTGCAGCCACCAAGACAGAAAAACAAAGAGGCCTATAAAAGCCCACACAGGCGCCACTCGCGGCGTGTGCACGGGTGTGTCTGTGCAACCCAGACCTCCACAGCTGACCATAGGCAGCAGGGCGAGGATGATGGGTGCTGCAAAAAATGCCCTCCAGGGGCCTCTCCGGTGGCGCAGGGGGTTGAGCACAGCACTGTAAAGCTATCTGAAGCCTCTAGAGCACGAGTTTCATCCCCGGGCAGCCAAGGAACTACACATGTGGCACAGCAGACCTCTCCTGTCTTCCTGCTGCAACCCCCAGCAGTGTATTTCAGTCTGCCTGTTCTGTTCCCCACTCTGTCTCTGGTGGATCCTCTCACCCCCTGCATCTCTGGCCTTTACCCCGGTTCTTTATGTATAAATAAATATTTTTAAAAATGCCCCCCAGGACAACCCCAGGCAGAGGGCCGTCTGGAGACTCCTGGAGAAGAGGAAGGTCAACTTATTCCCAAGGGGGAAACTTAAATTCACCCCATCGACAACCAGACAGCCTGCTACTGTCCCATCACAAAAATGGGATCTCGTTTTTCCATGTTTTTTTTTTTTTTTTTAAAGATTTATTTATTTATTTATTTATACAAGAACCAGGGTACAGGCCAGAGGCGTGGGAGGATGAGAGGATTCACCAGAGACAGAGCAGGGAACAGAACAGGCAGACTGATGAAATACACTGCTGAGGGGAGCAGTGGGGAGACAGGAGAGGTCTGCAGCGCCATGCGGGCCGGCTGGGATGGAACTGGCGCTGCAGAGGCTGCGGATAGCTTCACAGCGTGGAGCTCAACCGCCTGCGCCACCAGGGGAGGCACTTCCATGTTTTTTTTTAAAGATTTATTTATGCATGCAAGAGCTGGGGTGCAGGCCAGAGGTGCGGGGGTGGAGGTGTTGTGGTGGGTGTGAGAGAGGATTGCCAAGAGACAGAGTCAGGAGCAGAACAGGCAGACTGACTGAAATACACTGCTGAGGGGAGCAGCGGGGAGACAGGAGAGGTCTGCTGTGCCATGTGGGTAGCTCCTTGGCCTGGGATCCAACTCCTGCCACAGTGGCTGCTGACAGCTTCACAGTGTGGAGACTTAACCCCTTGCGCCACCAAGGAGGCCCCGCTTTTCCATGTTAACTAGATTTTTTTTTTAAGATTTATTTATTTATTTATACAAGCACTGGGTACAGTCAGAAGCGCGGGAGGGTGAGAGAATTCACCAGAGCCAGAGCGGGGAGCAGAGCAGGCAGAAGGACCGAAGGACACTGCTGAGGGGAGCAGCGGGCGGCAGGAGGGGTCTGCGCGCCATGTGGGACCCTCCTCCGGGGGCCGGGGAGCAGCCGGGGATCGAACCGGCGCTGCAGAGGCTGCGGCCAGCTTCGCAACCCGGCGCTCAACCGCTGCGCCACCGGGGAGGCCCCATGTTAACTAGCTTTTGATGGCTGCGGGCACTGCACCTTATGATGGACCACAGTGAATCCAAACAAGCCCGACCCCTCTTTCCTATTTTCTACACGTTGACCTGTTGGCCCCCAGGGTCACACATGCCGCCCGTGCCCGTTCAGCCGGTTCTCCCCTGGGTGGGCCATGCAGGCTCGTTCACGTGTCTTTCCCGAGCAGAGCAGCCCGGCCGCGCAGGGGCCTTTCCGCCTCACAGCGGCAGACGCCGGGCCGCTGGGGTGACGCGTCCACGCGGCGCGCCGGGAGGACGGCCTGGACCCGACTCCACAGTCACCCGCCGGCGAAACAGTCGCAAAGGGGACGCCGGAGGGCTTCCCGGAGGAGGCGGACAGACAGGCAGCAGCAGGAGCCGGCGTCGGGGAAGGTCATCTGCAGAGGTCGGAGGCTGAGCAAGGGCCGTCTCGAGATTTCTTAACCCTCCAGGCTTGTAGGGCAGAGGCTTGCAGGGCGAGACCGAGGGCGGACGAGGCGCACTGCGGGCAGGAGGCCCCGGCCCGGCCCCGCGCGGCCGCCAGCCGCGGGCAGGAGCCCACGCCGGCCCCGCCCCTGACCCGCCCCTCCACGGCCCCGCCCCTCCCTCAGGCTCCATCCCTCGCCACCTGCTCCCCCCCCCCCCCCCCCGGCCTAGGCCCCGGCCCCGCCCCTCCCTCCGGCTCATCCCTCGCCGCCCGCTCCCCAGGCCCAGGCCCCGCCCCCGTAGGGTTTGGAACGACCCCGGCCGCCACCAAGCCCCGCCCCCGCCGGCGGCTTTGCGCTCCGTCCTTCCGCGTCGCTTCAGGCCCCGCCCCCACCCCTCCCGGCCCCCTGCGGAACGCGGCCCCGCCCCCGCCCCGCCCTCCCCCGCCCGGCGCCCCGGCGGGCTGGCCCCGCCCCCGCCCCGCCCCGCCGGCCTCCTCGGGCGCGGCTCGGCGGCGCTGCGCCCGGGAGCTGCCGCCATGGCGGTCACCGCGGAGGGCCCCCGCCGGAGGGAGCGCGTCCTCTGCCTGTTTGACGTGGATGGGACCCTCACGCCGGCCCGCCAGGTAGGGCCCCGGCGCCAGCGCGGGCCCGCGCGCCGACCCCGGCCCGGCCGCGCGCGGACGCCGGTTCCCGCCCCCGACGCCCCGAGACCGCCCGCCGCGGGGGGCGACGCCCCGGGCCCCGCGTCACCGGCCCCGGCCGTCGCGCCCACGCTCTGCCCCGGGCGGCGGCGCTGGGGGGACTCTGGAAAGTGGGGGCCAGGGCAGGGCAGGGCCGGCGCCCCGTCACCCCGCCCGGGCTGCAGGCCTGGGTCCGAGCCTGGCGTCCCCACCCGCGCCCCGCTTGTCTCCCGGCCCGGGAGGGCTGTGGCTGGTCCCGGAGGGCCTCGTGGCGCGGGGAGGGCCGGAGAACAGTTTTCCTTCCAGAGGCACCTGGCCCGCGTGGCCCTCCACCCTCTGCTGCTCACCAAGTTTTCTCCCTTCGGGTCTCACCCCGGATGAGCCCCTCACCCACTCTGGAGTGTGGACCTGCTGGATATGTGGAGAAGTAGGCCTTTTCTTGCCCACCCTCCAGTCCGGGGTGCAAGGACCCGCTGCGGGGTCTCCTAGAGCAGGGAGCCGGTAGCGATGGGGTAAGAAGGCAGAGGCTCTGGGAAACCGGGTCTTAGCTTCCCCTCTCAGCTCCTCACCCCTTATGGGAGGACCTAGCTGGCACCCTGGGAGGAATCAGGCCACCTTGCTTTCCAGCAGCTTCCAGAGTCCCCTGGGGTGGGAGGAGATAACCAGAGGGGTTATCTCCACTGACTTAACAGCCTGGACCAGGACAGGGTATCCATGGTGCCCACCCACCAGACCCTGTCCTTAGTGTTTTTTTTTTTTTAAATATTTATTTTTAATGACATCTTTCTTTTTTTATTTTTATTTATACAAGCACTGGGTACAGTCAGAAGCGCAGGAGGGTGAGAGAATTCGCCAGAGCGGGGAGCAGAGCAGGCAGAAGGACGGAAGTACACTGCTGAGGGGAGCAGCCGTGGCAGGAGAGGTCTGCACGCATGTGGGACCCTCGCCTGGTGGCAGGGGATCGAACCGGCACTGCAGAGGCTGCGGGCAGCTTTGCAGGCCCAGCGCTCAACCACTGTGCCACCGGAGAGGCCCCTTAGTGCTTTTTATTTTAAGATTTATCTATGCATACAAGAACTGGGGTTCAGGCCAGAGGCGTGGGGGGTGAGAGGATTCACCAGAGTGGGGGAACAGAACAGGCAGATCAACTGAAATACACTGCTGAGGGGAGCAGTGGGCAAGTCAGGAGAGGTCTGCTGTGCCATGTGGGCCGCTCCCTGCCTGGCCAGGGATCGAACTCATGCTGCAGTGGCTGCAGATTGCTTCATAGGTTGCATCTTAACTCCTTGCGCCACCAGGGAGGCCCCTTAGTGGTTTTTAAACTATACTGTATATTCCTGAACATATTCTCCTTGGAAGGAATGAAAACAGAGAAGACTAAAGCCCTATCCAACCATGTCAGGATCCCAGGCCTAGTCCCCACCCCAAAGCCTTCCTTCCATACCCGGGTCTCTGTTAGCCCAGAGGAAATAGCATCTGTAAGCCTTTTTTTAAATAAGCGGGATCATGCTTCGTGGGTCTTCCTGCCACTTGTTTGACGATGGGCGCTCTGGCAGCGCTCTCTGGCGTCGGAGCACAGGCCAGCCTGTTCCGTGTGACCACAGCGCGGTGACTCGGAGCACATAGTGCCATTGTCCGACTGACAAGCACGTACATTGTTTTTTCACTGTTTTGAACCTTACCCCAGTGGACCTGCAGCCACACCTGGGCAAGAGAGGTGGACATTCTGGGTGGCAGGGCACATGCCTTGTTTGAACAGACCTTGCCAGTCGCCCTCCTCAGTGGCTGGCCCAGGGTACTCCGGGCACTTGAGGGAGCTTGTTTCCCTACATCATTGTCCACACTGGGCGTGACCATGTTTGGAAACATGGATTATAACTCCTTCCTCTCTGTGTCCCTGGTGGGGCATGTCCCCAGTTATTGTGGTTCATTTCCAAGCACAGCGGGGGCACACTCTCATGGAATCTTAACAGTGATCCCCACTTTCAAGACGGGACAGCTAAGGCAGAGCCATTTGCTCGAGGTCTTTCTGCGCTTGGAGCCCAAGTGCGTCTCCTTTTGAGGTCTGGGGTCCAACCTTTGAGCTGCCTCAGATCCAGGTGGGCTCCGCACGCGGAGAGGGCTGAGTGGAGGTCCCAGACATGAGGACGACTAGAGCCCTCTGCTTTCCTGCCCTCCCTGCAGAAAATTGACCCTGAGGTGGCTGCCTTCCTGCAGAGGCTGCGAAGCAGGGTACAGATCGGTGTGGTGGGCGGCTCCGACTACTCTAAGATTGCTGAGCAGCTGGGCGAGGGGGATGAAGGTAGGAGGCCGGCCCCGGCCAGGTCCAGGTGGGGGTGGAGCGAAGGGGGAGTTCCAGAGACCCCCAGACCATCATGCGTCCAAAGACCCGGCCCTCTTTCTAGGGGGCAAAGGAAGAACAGGGAGGAGCCAGATGTCCCCCTCGCGGATCCAACACACTTTTTGGGAGCACCGGCAGTGTGCCAGGCTTTGAGGCAGCAGCAGAAAACAAAGCGGGCAGAGTCCCGCCCTGCGGAGCTCACAGGCTCAGCCCTCCCTGCGGGGTCTTGGTTTCATCTTTAAGATGAGCACAGTCAGGACTGGCTGCCGTGGCTGAAGTGACCACACACTAGCTTCCTGTCACTGGCTCCTCGTCACCACGCTTTAGGGTGGGCTGATTAGTAGCCCAGGTGAGACTCCGAAGTCACCTGGCAAGGTGTTTGGACTCTGAGTCCCCGGTCTCAGCCCAGCGGACGCAAATGCCTCCCGGTCTTCAAACCAGAAATGCCCTCGACTTTTTCCTTCCCCCACCACTCCACCCCGTCCCGGGGTCACCTCCTGCTCGGCCCTGCCCGCCGCAGCCTCCTGTTTTCTCCCCGAGCGCCGCCCCCCCCCACCCCTACTCAGCCAGAATCTATCCCATCCGCACCCTCCCGGAGGGCTGGAGGCCTGGGGCCCGGGCCGCGGGAACTGCAGGGGGATGGCGCCCTCTGCTGGCGGGCCCTGGAAGGTTCCGCAGGAGGGAGCCGCGGCAAGCTAGGAACAGGGCCTCGCGGGTGGAAGGGCCTGCGTGGTCAGAGGCCGGGTGGGACTGGCTTGTTGGGGAAAGCCGGCTCAGGGTGGGACAGCGGGCTTTGAACGCCAGGCCCAGGAGCGTGGGCTGCTCTCTGGGCGTGCCCGTGCCTGGTCTCACCTCTTGCCTCCTCCCTGACCGCCCGTGGCCCTGAAGTCGTGGAGAAGTTTGATTATGTGTTTGCCGAGAACGGGACGGTGCAGTATAAGCACGGACGACTGCTCTCCAAGCAGGTCAGTGCCCCCGGGGCCTTCTCCAGGGATACCCCGCTTTTCCACCGAGGGACAGGCCAAGGTGCCCCCTGCCCTGGATGGGGGAGGGACACCGGCCCCATCCCACTCAGAGCCCTGTGCCTCGCCAGACCATCCAGAGCCACCTCGGCGAGGAGCTGCTGCAGGACTTGATCAACTTCTGCCTCCACTACATGGCCCTGCTCAGACTGCCCAAGAAGCGGTGAGACCCTGGGAGTGGGAGGAGCGGCTGGAGGACCCCCCCCCCCCCCGCCCCCGGGCCTGCAGGAAGAAAAGGGTGGGCCCCTCAGAAGGCCAGGGAGACGGTGGGGGCCTGACGCAGTGGTGGGGGAGTTCTTACCCCATGGGAACGCCAAAGTGGGACTGCATGTGAATTCAGGGCCACCCTGTCCCCTCGCGCGCCCCCTCCCTCCCCAGCGGGACCTTCATCGAGTTCCGGAACGGCATGCTGAACATCTCGCCCATCGGCCGCAGCTGCACCCTGGAGGAGCGAATCGAGTTCTCCGAGCTGGACAAGGTGCCCGACGGCGACCTCAGGCTGTAGCGCCTCGGTCATTCGGCCTCTCTCAGTCTTTGTTTCTGGTCTGGGAGGTGGCTGGGGGGCGGTTCTGGTTCGGCCCGCACCCCTCTGTACACCTGGCGTGAGCTGTGGGCACATCCCACTGCTGCGCCCCTCCCTTGGAGATGGGCCCCACCCCCCACCTGCTCAGGTAACCCAGCGCCGAGGGCGTCCTTCCCCCTCCCGCCCTCACAGCTTCGGCCAAGAGTGGGCCTCAAGGCCACTCACCCGTGTCTCCGCCCCGCACCCGCCGGCCTGTTCTCTGGCGGCGCCATGGATACCCTTTGAAAGCACCGCTGCCCTGCCCACTTCCCGCCTACAGCCCCTCTGGGGCTCCCTTGCTCAGGGGGACGAGGCCCCAGCCCCTCCAGTGCTGTTCCAAGGGCTGAGGGGTCTGCCTGGCTCAGGCCAACTGTAAGGGCAGGAAGGGCACAGGGCAGGTTTTCTGATCCAGCAGACGGGGTAAAGGAGGCATCCTGGAGCCCTCGGTGGCTTTTCAGGCTTTTATTGGGGTTTACCAGTACACGGCAGGCAGGGGTGCTGGGGGGCCGGGAGGCTATTGACTGCTTCCTGGCCCCTAGCAAGTCTTCGCTCTATCTGGGCTCTCCGGCCTTCTCTCGTGGTTCTGCTTCTCGTTGTTCTATCTCTGCTGGCGTCCCCGTGACGCCGCCCTAATAAGCGCAGTCTCAGCCCAGGTGAATCCCGTCTACCTAGGCCCGCCCCCTGTTCCAGGTGCCGCCATCAGGCATGATTCAGGACCGCAGGGTTCCCTCATCCATCCTGATGGCGGGAGGCCAGAAAAGCCTGATCCTTTTTACCTTACCCTACACCCCCCTCTTCAGTCTTACCTATGCCCTTGACGCGCCGCTGACTGTTCTTGGAACATTCCACAGTCCCTCTGGCCTTTGGAGGTGCTGCCCCTGCTAACCCTTGACTTGTATTTTGCTTGTCAGCCCTCCAGCCATGCGCTGCCCTCAGGGCGAGCCAGCACGCCAGCCTGCCACGCTGGCCCGCCGCTGTCCTCTGACCTGCCCTGCTCCCCCCGGGCTCGCCCCACCCCACCACGTCCTCCTTGCTAGGGCCGGCGGAATCCACTTCTGCCCACACGCTTCCCTCCGACGCGCGGCGCTCACCTTCGCAGGGGTCACCTCAGTGGGCCTTCCCCGAGCATCACATGTACCCCCGCGCACCCCAGCGCCTCTCCTCTGTTTGGCTTCTCCCCATGCAGACATCGCCACCCTCTAACACAGTCAGACATCTTTTAACCCTTGGTGATTGTCTCCCCAAAATTAAGCTCCGTGGGGACTGGGCCTTCTGCGGCCGCTCCGACACCCCCACGCGGGAAGCCGCAGGCGCGCTTGTGAGGGGTGCGGAGGGTGGGTCGTCCCCTTTGCGGATGAGGAAACTGAGCTCATGGGCATTGGTGAAAGGACAAGGATTTGAACTTGGGGTTCTGCCCACTGCTGTTTCCCAGGTGGCGGTGGGGTGGGACTTGCAGTGACGCTTCCAACTCACTGACCGGGGGTCCCTGGGCTTAGGGTAGGCGAAGCCCTCGGGCGATTGGCACTGACCAGAAAGAACCCTCCCACCATGCACATACCCAGCGGCCCAGGCTTGCGCTGCCAGCTCCCCCCCGACTTGCCTGGACAGTGGCTTCGCCACGTGCGCCTGTGCTCTCTGCGGTGAAGGGGGTGAGCTCCCGTCTCGCGGCTACAGCGGGGCTCGGGCACTGGCCCGCACATGCCCTGCTCACGGCCCCTGGGGTCTTGGCTTTGGTGCTCAGCGCCTTCCGGGACTCCGCGCACTCTCCTCAGTTCCTCAGGCCCTGAACGAACCGTGCCCGTCCTTAGATGCGGACACGGTGGCTAGGGGTGAGCACCCAGGTCCCGCCGAGGCTGGGCTGGACACACGGCTGCTCAGTGCCCGGCCTGGCTGTCTGGAGGCAGGTGTGGCCCTCGGGCCCGGGGGAGGCTTCTCCTCAGGGCTGTGGAGCCCTTAGCGCTAGGCTGGGCCCAGAGTGGCTTCCGGGGTGGGCCCACTGCCTGATTGGGAAGGTGAGGCCACGGCTTCCGGAAGCTCCCGTCCCCCATCTCCGCTTCTCCAAGAGCGGAGACAGACAGGGGTGGCTGGTTACTTCTCAGGGAAGTCAGGCTTACCATGTCGCGCACGGCCAGGAAGCACGACTGCTGGGCCCGGCTCCCAGCAGCTGCCTCTCTCCCAGGTTGAGTCGCAGCTGGCTTTTCAGCTCAGGTCCTCCCTGCGCCACAGCTGGCCACCCCCTGCCTTGCGCTGCGGTCCTCCCTGACTCCACTGGCTCGCCTCGGGGTTGAGGCACACCACGGTGCTCAGAATCCCCTCCACGCCCCTGGGGCGTGTCCAGACTCCCCTAGGCCCTCTGAGCTGGCTATGCTGCGCTGCCCTGGGGGAACCTTCAACTCAGGCCCTGCTGCATCCCCCTGCCCCCTGCCTGAGGGTGCTCGGCAAATGAGGTGCCCGTGTGGTTGGCGCTGACTTGTGCCCAGCATCCTCCTGACCTGAGCTCCCCTGCTGCTGACTCACAGGTCTCCTGTCTCTTGATGCCTCACGCTCATTTCCAATGGCCCAGCTAGTTTGTGGCGAGCTGGGTTGAGCCCTTTCCTGAGGTGGACACTGGGCCTTCTGACACCCCTGCCCTCCAGCCTTCGCCTCATGCCTCTTCCCCCAAGGCTCCCTTCAGAACACCCGTCCACAGCCCTGCTATCAGGGCCCGGCAGAGTTCAGTCAGAACTCCCGGCTCCGGCCTGGCTGGGTGGCTGAGGCATGACCCCACCCCGGGGCTCAGTTTCTTCATTTGTACAGTGGGGCCGTAGCACCCACGTGGAGCGCTCCAGTCACAGGACTGGAGTGCCCAGCGCAGTGCCCTCCAAGCCCGAGCCTCCGCCCATTCCCTCCCTCCCGCAGAAGGAGAAGATCCGGGAGAAGTTCGTGGAAGCTCTGAAAACTGAGTTTGCCGGGAAAGGGCTGAGGTTCTCCCGAGGTACGTGCACCGCAGGAGGCCTCGTGGCCGGTGGCCCTGGGGGTTGGTGAGCGAACAGAGAGAACCCCCGCCCGCCCACACACCAGCCGCCCTCTCCAGCCCTCTGCCCTGCAGGAGGCATCCCCTGCCCGCCTACGCCCCCGCCGCCCTCTCCAGCCCCCTGTGCCCTGCAGGAGGCATGATCAGCTTCGACGTCTTCCCTGAGGGTTGGGACAAGCGCTGCTGCCTGGACAGCCTGGACCAGGACAGCTTCGACACTATCCACTTCTTCGGGAACGAGACCAGCCCTGTGAGTGTGGCCCAGCCCAGGTGCCTCCCGCCCCCCGTCGCCCCGGTCAAGGCCGGCCACAGGCGCCAGAGCAGACCCCGGAGGCGCCCAGAGAACAGCCAGTGCTCACAGCCCCGCCACACAGGTGTTAGGCTGAGGCCCTGACGGGCTGCCGCCTGCCCCAGGCCACGTCAGGCAGACCTGGAGGAGGGGGCCCCACGCCGGGGTGTCTGCTGGGCTCCACCCCGGCATCTCCTCAGCCACCACGTGTGCCTCCTCCGCAGGGCGGGAACGACTTCGAGATCTACGCCGACCCCCGGACCGTGGGGCACAGCGTGGTCTCGCCGCAGGACACCGTGCAGCGATGCCGCGAGATCTTCTTCCCGGAGACGGCCCACGAGGCGTGACAGGCCTCGCCCCGGGACTCCCAGAGCGCCGTGGCCCTGGCGCCGCGCGTGCCGGGCCTTCCTGCGGCCCGACGCCGGCCAGCGTCTGTGTGGACGACCGTCCCGCGGCCAGCTCCGGGGCTCGCGCCGCCGGGCTGTGGTCGCTGCCCGTACTTCTGAGCCAGCTTCCCCTCCCCGCGCTGCTGACAGCGGCCCTGCCTGCCGGGCGGGCGCGACGCGGGGGGCGGGTGTGTGCGGTGAGAACTTGATCTCACGGTATTAAAGTCCCCGGAAAAAAGTGTGGCCGTGGCTCCGTCTGGGGGGGGTGCTTGGCCCCGGGCGCAGGTGCCCTTACGGCCTGCAGGGGAGGAGCCAGGCAGGCCGTCTCCGGGCCAGCCCTGGGGGGCCGGCTGTGTGGGTGTCTTCCCCAGCCCCTTCCCAGGACCCATCAGACAGAGGCCACGCTAGACCAGCCCGCGCCACAGTTGAGGGTTTATTGCCAGTGTTGGGGAGGCCGGGCAGGCGGGGGCCGGGGGTCCCGGAGGACTCTGCGGGACCTGAATGGGGAGGGTGCTGCTGCCCCGCCGCCACCCCAGGCAGCCCCAAGCCACTGCCAGCTCGCACTGCCTCCTGGCTGCTGCCTAGAAGGGGCTCTACTCACAGGATGGAGGTCTTGGGGGCCCCCAGCAGTTAACTTGCACCAATAAACCTTCTGCCAAGGAGGCCAGCGAGTCCTGTTCCCCGGGAGGAAGGCCACGGGCCCCGCCACAGCACCCAGTTCCAAGTGGGGTGTCAGGCTGGGAGAGTCCCAGTTTGGGGGAGCTGGTCAATGCCATTCAGTAACTCTGGGCTCCCAACCTCTGTGGGACAGGAGCGGGGGGCACCTTAAAACCCCAGCGAGGGCCAGGGATCCCCATAGATAGTCACGGACCCCTTCATCTTGGACTGGATCTTCAAAGATTCACTGTCCCTGGCAGGCCCTCCCCTGAACCCCATTTCTTACCCCACCAGGTGATGTGCTCTCTAAAAGGGAATGTGGGGGGTGGAGTCAGAGCCCCTCCTTCCTGGCCTCCCAGGTCCCGCCAGCGATGGCTGGCCACTGGCCGCAGGGCTCGGTGAGCAGGAGGGAGGAGTGAGGACCCAGCCCGGGGGCGGCAGGGCTGGGCCTTCCAGGCTGAGGCCACCCGAGGGCCCTCCTGACCCTGTGGGAGGGGATATGTGTCCCTCCAGCCAGGGGCCTGGGCAGCCTTGGTGACTGGACACTGGCGGAATGTTGGGGTTTGTGAGCCAGGGCAAAGGGGGTGGCTCCGCCCAAACCCACCGCTCATCAGACTGGCCCAGGGGAGGGGACACTGCCTTCTTGGGGTTCAGAGAGTCACTGCCAGCTGAGGAGGGGCTGTGGCTGGCAGAACAGGAGCCCCCAAACTGCCTTCTGTGCTCAGGCCCCTCTTTCTTGCCCCTCCAGTGTGTTGAGGGGAGAGCAAGCAGGCAGGCTGGGGGGCGCCGCAAGGGGGGGCCTGCCTGCCTCCTCACTTGGCCCTCTTCCCCTGCCAGAGGCTGGGAGGCTCCCCCAAAGTGCTCCCTGGCCCAGCTTCCAAGGGGAGGGGCCCAGGCCACAGGGAGACCCCAGCCCAGGTGGGAGGTGTGAGTAGCTAGAGCATTCTGGCCCCGGGGCCAGTCCTGGGGTAGAGGCCAGGAAACAAGCGTGTATGGGTGGGATCTGCTGTACCCGCAGACCCCAGCCCCAGGCCTGCCGTTGGTACGTGGCTTGATGGGCAGGAGGGCCCTGCGCGAATGTGGCAGAGAGGAGGGGAGGAGAGTGTGGACGGGCAGAGAAGGCGGGCCGTGGCCGCCTCAGTCCAGCTCAGTAACAGTCACGGGTCACGGGGTGATGGAGGCACACTCACAGCCACAGCACGGACAGACAGACAGACAGACAGGGGCACGGAGGCCGCCCGGGGGCCTGGGTCAGTCAGCGCAGTGGGGCGCGGGGCCGGCTGCTGCCAGTCCGCCCTCTGTGGCTCCCCCCCTGGCTAGGCGGCCGCCTCGAGACCACCCGGCCTAGGAGCCCACAACCTGGCCGGACCACGTCTCGTGGGGAGTGTGGGGGGCCAACTGGGTGAGCACCACCTCCACGGCCTGGAACTTCTGGTTCTTGGGCGGGATGGGGCACATCTTGTAGGTCACCTCATCGCCCTCCACCGGCACATACTCCCCCTCGATGCTGGTGGGCGAGAGAGGGCATCAGCCCCGGAACAGACCCCACTCCCAGACGCCCCCATGGCCTGGCCAGGGAGCCTGGGCCAGCCCCGGTCTCTAGTCTGAAACACAGGGATCCCAAAAGTCCCTCCCTCCCTGTGCTGCTTGGGGATTACGTGGGGAGATCCCTGAGGCCAGGGGCTGGGGGCCAGGCCTAGTCCACCTCTGCTCCCGCCTAGCCTCCCTGCCTGACAGCCCTTCAGGCTAAAAGGCCCAGCCCTCTTGGCCCCCATGAGCAGCATCCAGGACACAGCTGTGGCTCCAGGGGCTTCTGGGCTCTGAGTGCCCCCCCCAGCTCTAGCCCTCCTCCTATGTACCCCTGCCCCCGAAAGGGGGAGGTAGAGATCAGGGACCCAGACCTCATGGGCCAGTGCAGGGGGAGAGGCCCGGGACATGGTTCCGGAGGCAGATGGGGACAGTGCAGCCAGCGGCCACGGCCCGGGGGGAGGGGACTCACTCAGACACGTGGACGAAGATGTCCTCAGACCCGTTCTCGGGGGTGATGAAGCCGTGGCCCTGTGAGCGCGAGAACTGCTTACAGACGCCCTTGAATACGGGGCCAGCCGAGGCTCGGGCTGTCCTGAGGATGGGGGAGGGCAATTGGCGCTGTGGCCTGGGGACCCAGCTCCTGTGGACCAGCCCCCCCTCGGCACAGCAGCCTCCTGCCCTGTCGAGGCTTAAAAGGATTCTTGCTGTAATATTTTTCTTCCTACCCCATTGTAAGATTTTTTTTTCTTGCATAGAAGAACTGGGGTGCGGGGTGCAGGCCAGAGGTGTGTGTGGGAGGGTGAGAGGATTCACCAGAGACAGAGCAGGGAACAGAACAGGCAGCCTGACGAAATACACTGCTGAGGGGAGCAGCGGGCGAGACAGGAGAGGTCTGCCACGCCATGTGGGTAGCTCCCTGGCCAGGGATCGAACTCTTGCCCTAGTGGTGATAGCGCTGAGACTTGAGCCCTAGGCCACCGGGGTCCCGTTGTAAGATTTCTGAGTGAGGAATGGCCTGGGCTTCAATACGTGCCCAGAGTTGCTCCCTGGGGTATCCTGCTCACGCACCTTCCCTCATCCCCTCGTCATTTATTAAGCATCTGCTCCGTGCCGGGCTTGGGTTGAACGTGGGATAATTAGCATTTGCCACAAAACCTCCTCCCTTGGCTAAGCAGTCTGTCCCCCCGTGGCTCCCACAAGCACCCTCCCTATAGGACCCCACCCAGTGACCCACCCCAGAGGCGCAGGCAAGCCCCCATCCAGCCCGCCCCCTCGCTCTCCCTCTCCAGAGACCAACCCACGGCTGGGTTATTGTCCAGCCTGTTCCACAGGCCTGCGCCACCCCCAATGCCTTCTCCACCTGAAACATCTTCCAGGCCCTGCTAAGACGGCCCCCCTGGCGCCTGAGGCTGGTCCTCACCCCCAACCCTGCCGGTGGTAGTGGACGGTGGGCACATTCCCTCCGGACTGCAGGCAGCTGTAGGCTGAGACTGTCTATTCGTCATTGCGTCAGGACGTCATAGGGACAGGCCTCCAGCTGCGAGGGGAGGCGGGGTGGGCCCAGGGGGGGGGGGGCAGGGCAGGAGAGGCGCAGGTACTCACGCGGAATACGTCCTGGTCCGCTTGGTGGGCAGAGGGCTGGGCAGGTCCCGAGCGGAGACGCCGCCCCGCTCCCAGACCCTGCTGCCCTCCCGATGGAAGGGGAAGGTGGGCCACACCGGGGACTTGGGGGAGTGGAGCGGGGGTACAACTGGAGGGGACGTGGGCTCCGAAGTCATGGTGGGAGCAGCAGGAGTACCGGATGGGCTCCCAGGCTCGGGGGCCGGTGAAGGGCTCGGATGTCCTGGCGGGCAGGGCCCGGCCTGGCCCTGCTCGGCAGCCTCGGCAGCCACAGGCTCCGTCTGGAACAGGGAAAGGCGGGAAGCGTGAGTGAGGCCCAGAGCGGGCAGCTCCTGGGCGACGGCGTGAGTCTAGAGAGCTGGGCGGGCCTGCGCGCCATCCCCCCAGAGACCCAACAGCCACAGACCCCTGCTCCGGGCTGGCCTTGCTCCCCCAAAGCCCGTGCGTCGAGCGCTAACCCCGGTGGCGGTATTTGGAGACGGGACCTCAGGGATGTGACTAGGATTAGGGGTGGTCAGAGGCCGGATCCCCCATTGCAGGACTAGCCCCTTAGCAGAGCCTCCGAGCTGGCTGCCTCCCTCTGGCCCTGGCACAGCAGGAGGCGCTGACCTGGGCACCACCCTGGCCTTGGACCTCCAGCCTCCAGAGCCAGGAGGGAGATGTCTGTCGTGGGAGCCCCCCAGTCCATGGCATTTTGTTTTTAGCCAAGTTGACTAAGACACACCTGGGAGCCCCGCTGGCACAAGTTCCATTTTCCGACTCCCGAGCCCAGAAGAGGCGCGTGCCAGAGGCCAGGGACGCTCTGGATATAATTTGGCACCAACGCGTCAAGCCCACAGACCTGCGTCTGAATCTCAGCTTTGCCAGCTGTGCCCCGGCAGCCTCGGGCAGCCCGTCCTCTGACGCTGGGCCCCCACAGCCCGGGTCTGAGTCCTGTTCCTCCACCCCCGGCGGTGTAGCCTCGCTCCACACTCTCAGCCGTTGGCTCAGCTTCCCGCCCCTCACGGGGGGATAATGTTCTTGTTCAGGAAGCGCTTGGCCCAGGACCGGGCGTGTGGGCTCCCGGGAACACTGGTGATAGTTCCTCAGCCCGTTTCCTACTCTCTAGAAAAACTCGGGGTGAGAACACCATGCAAGGCTGTTGAGGCTCCAGGGATTAGGGCGACAGTGCCTGGCATCTCTAGCACCCAATAAAGTGCTACTACGGGTGCTAATCACTAGATATTCCCACATCAACAGCTGAGGGCCTGGACGACCTTGAAAAAGTTCACTCTATTTTCTTCTGAATCTGAAGAGGAAGAAAAATCGTTTCTTCCCCATTTCCCCGGCCCCAGGGATGGAGAAGTCTTGGACCCCAAGATGCTCCGGTGGCACCCTGTGGAGGAAAGCTGGGCCTTCCCGGCCAGGCTGCTCTGAGCCCGGGACAGGAGCCTGCAGGGGCGGCGGGGCACAGCAGGGCACACAGAGCCCCAGCTCTGCCTTATGTCAGCTGCCCACCTGGGGTGGCACCTCCTTGGCCTGTTTCCTCATCTGCACAAGGGAGCAGATAAGCCCCGCCTGGCTAAGCCCGGGGTGTCAAGAAGCGCCTGAAGTCACACAGGCCTAGGGGTCCTGAGTCGTCACCTCCTCACCCCCGTTCCTTTACTCCCACCCCTCACCCACAGGCCCCGAGGTCGCAGGTGAACCCCTGAGCAGCTGGTCTCTGTCTTGCCTCCTCCCTGCACCGTCCCGAGCCCGGGTTTCTGGGGAGGACGCCCAAAGCAGCGCAGGGCAGGCCGGGCAGGCCAGGCAGGCCGGGCTGGAGGCTCTCAGGCCGCTCTGCTCGAGCCCAGCCGGCAGGGTGCTTCTGGGTCCGGACGGCGAGAGGCTCTCCTGTCCTGTTGGACAGGGGGCCTCTTCCTCCCCAGGACCCCATCTCCAGGGGTGCCGGGGAGTAAGAACTGCCCCTCGTGGCCCCTCAAGCTGACGTCGGGTGTTGCTCTCGGAGTCCATTCTGGGAGGCGGGGGCGGTCAGGCCTGGCTGCTTTACCCCCATCTTAGAGGATAGGCAGAACCTTCAAGAGCCACAAAACACAAAAACTTGTATGTGAACATTCCCAGCAGCATTATTCATAGTAACCAAAGAGCGGCCACACCCTAAATGTCCACCAGTGGCTCCATGGACAGACAAAACGTGTGTGGCCAGAGTGGAGTATTACTCAGCCGCGACCAAGGCGGGCTATGATCACGCGGTGACGCACAGGAAACTTGCGGCGAGGATGCCAAGGGCAGGCCACCGGCGCAGGGCTCCGCGCGGGACAGGCCCGGGACAGGCTAATCCGTGGAGCCAGAAAGGAGGCCAGTGGTTGCCTGGGGCCGGGGAGGCAAGGGGCGGTGACCTCTCACGGGGGCAGAGCTTCTTTTCAGGGTGATGAGAACTGGACCA